TTTTTATTTATTTATGTATTAGAGAGAGAGAGAGAGAGAGAGAGAGAGAGAGAGAGAGAGAGAGAGCACTCCACAGTCCTTGCTTGGGGCTGAGTCTGAGTCTGTCTCTCCAGCCTGCCCCCACCAGGGTCGGACAATTACAAAATGTAAGTCACTTCAAAGGTGCTGGGCACTAAGTGCAGCACAACGAAAGTCAGCTATTAGTTCTTAAACTCTTGTCTTGCCACCTGCAACCTGAGCCTTGCTTCTGCACCTGTGAAGTTATCTACAGATCTCAAGAAGCATGAACTTCCATTTACTAAGACAGTGCAGGAATTGGGAAAGGGTCTGTTCTGAGGGGGAGGCCACGGAAGGGAGAGCTGCCACTAAGTACTTACCCTGTGGCACCACCCCCCCATCTAGTCCCAGCTGATCTCAAGCTCCACCATCCTCCTGCTTCTGTCTCCCAAGAGCTGGGGACTAGTTTGCTCAGGTCACATGCCCAGCTCTCCAGCACATTGTGAGGGTTCAGTGACCTCAACCCATAAATACTTAAGCAGAATTTTGCTACTACAGAAAGCCAGAGGTGATAGTATGGAATGGAGAACTCTGGATGCCCCTAAAAGCCTTTAATCTGTGGGCCCCAGCCAGCTGTAGGCGAGTCCCGCCTTCCTAAGTGGTCCATACACTGCGGGGGCGGTGGGAGGCAAACCTCAGGGCATTCACTGTGCACCTCTTGCAAAGTGAGGAAACCCATATTTAGGGTAACCATGAACCTGTAAATAAGGAGGGGAGAAGTTAAAAAAAATGAGGGGAGGACAGTGGATCAAAACAAAAAGTGCTTCTTGCCTGGGCAGTCTGCCTCAAGCACAGCCTTCCCCACCTCCCAACCCTCAGGGATCTTCTCTCCGCAGCTTGATCTCCTTCACACAAGTAGAGAGTAGAAAGTTTGTGGCGTACTGGACAAGGCTGCAGTCTTGCTGCTGTCCAGGCCCACCAGCTCCCCCTTGTGACCAAGACTGTACAATGCAAACTCAAGGGAGTAATTCTCTCAAAATTACAGCAAATTACAAAGACATCAAATTCAAGGTGCAATGAAGCTGCTGACCTTGGTGTCACAGGTGCCCTAAAGGGGGACCCTCCAGCTCAGCAGCTGCATTGCACCAGGCGGGAAGGCGTGCCCCAGACTAGGGCACATCATAGTGACAAGGGGCAGCCTCACTCAGACTAGACTCTTTTGCTTCATGGAGAAGCCAGAGTAGAGGCACGTGCACAGCTTGGCGGGGGCAGGGCGAGCTGCTGGCAGCAGAGAAGGCTCTCCCCTAGCCAGCACCAGGCGCTGCGCCTGCAGAGCGCCACTTCAGAGTGGCACCACACCCACTTGTCCTCACGGCCAGACAGTAGCATCAGTATTGTTTGACTTCATCATGATTACAGATTACTGCCACCTAAGCCAGCCTCCAGGAAGCCCAACAACGCACAGCTGATGGGGTATACTCCAGAATTTGGGCACCCATCCCTTGCTGCAAGGCACGTGTGGCAAGCGACATTTCTGCAGGTTTAAGGGGCAACTGGCAAGGTCATGCCCTGGCAGAGGTTTTGAACATGGAAGAAAAACACACAAAGCCTAAAGCAAATAACTTTATTATCATTCCCTATTAAAGAACCATGTAGAAAATAGGCAAAACACCAACAGCTGCTCTTCAGGGGTGAACGAGAAGACTGGGCTTCGGGGGCTGCATTCTGGGGGCAGGATCTGCTTTTTTAAGAGGAGCTCTCCGACACGGGGTGGCTACCCACGCAGCGCTTCCTCCCTCCCGAAATCAGGCTGGAACTCAGCTAATCCCAAACTCAAACTCGGGCCATGTCCGAGGCCACCTGTTGTTCTCCAGGAGGCCCAGCTCTGGAGAAAGGACATTCCACTCACCAGGCGGCCCCTCAAGACACCTGTCTGCCCTCGAAGGTTACCAGGGGTCTCCTGGGAACAAGACTCAGGCCTCACTCCCCACCTGAAGCCACACTCCTCTCTAGGACATCAGGTGGAGAACAGGTCCAAGAAGGTGACAAGAGACTCCTGGGCAGGGGGTGTCAGGTCCCTCAGAGCTGCTGACGCCGCCATGGTGTGGCTCACTTCGGGCCCAGGCACTCCACAATCCCATTCCCCTTCATGCCATCAAAGAAGAAGAAGTTGTTGTGAGGAGGATCCCTCTGTGACAGGGCCTGGGAAGGGAAGCAGAAGGCAGCTCAGCCCCAAAGGCATGGGAGAGTGACAGACAAAACACACTGTATCTTCCAAAGGTCTAAGACAAAAAGGGAAAATAAAAGCAGGCCTTAGGTGGCAATGGTTCTCAAATGGGATATAATTTGCTCTATAAGGGCTATATAAGAATGTAAAATCTGGGCGTGGGTGTGCGTCCCTGTAATCCCAGCACTGGGAGGCTGAAAACAGGAGGGAGGAGTCCCAAGCTGTGGAGGGACACCCTATAACAAATACATTAAGTTTTTTAGTCACTTCTTGAGATAAGTCTTGCTATGCAAATCCAGGTTGGCCTTGAACTTGGGATTCTTCTGCCTCAGCCTCCCCAAGTACTGGGATTACAGGCATATGCTCTAGTGCCCAGGTCTAAGCATTTATTTTTTTATTTTTGCAGAACCGGGGATTGAACTCAGGCCCTTGCGCTTGCCAGGGAAGCGCTTATTCCACTGAGCCATCTCCCCAGCCCCTTCTAAGCATTTATTTATATTTTTATGTATTTGGTACATAAAATTTTTATGTATTTGGCACAGTCCGCAGCTCAGACTTGTAGTGATCCTCCTCTTTCAGCCTCCTCAACACTAGGATGACAGGTGTGCACCACCATGCCCAGACTAGGTGGATGGCTCAAGGTGCCGGGGGCGGGGCCTGCGCAGCATGTGGGGCCAGGGTTGAACCCTGGTCCCTGCATTTGCCTAAGCAGGCGCTTATTCTGCTGAGCTATCTCGCTGGCCCTCTATACTTAAAATTTTAGGGGGCCAGGAAGATGGCTCAGTAGAATAAATGCTTGCCTGGCAAGCACAAGGGCCTGAGTTCAATCCCTAATTTAAAAAAAAAAAAAAAAAAAAAATTAACTGGTTTGATCCCTGGTACCGCATGCCTTGCCAGCCCTAGAACACCAAGTATGACCCAGCAGCCCACGTGGTGGTGCATGCCTGTAATCTCACCACTGGGGAGGCTGAGACACAATAATCACTACCAATCTGAACTGTGTAGCAAGACCCTGTAACAAATAAAGAAAAATAAAATAATTAAAAGAAAATTTAAAAAATTATTGAGACATCATCCTGGTAAATTGCTTAAACTGCCTCAGAAGTTCAATCCTCATGGCTCAGCCTCAGGAGAAGCTGGGATTAGAGGTGTGTGCCACCATACTCAGCCTAGGAGACCATTCTGATTGGTATGTCTCCTTACTCTGTCCCTTACCTGGGGGGGGGGGCAAACAAAGAAATCAATTTTTTTTTTTTTTTTGAGACAAGGTCTCCTTATGTAGTTAAGGCTGGCCTTGAACTCTGTAGCCCAGGTTGGCCTCAAATCAGTGATCTTCCTGCCTCAGCCTCCTGACTGCTGGGATGACAGGTGTGCGCCCCCCATGCCTGGCCATTTAACTACCTTGAACCTTACTTTTTCAATGTTTAGTAAGAACAAACGTACTGCACGGAGGATTAAAACACGATACCCCATGCAATAGGTAGCAGAGTTGCGCTGATGGGCAAGCAGCAGGGATGATTCCTTAGGACAGAGCGCCTGGAAGGCGGCAATCCACTGCTGTCATCTGACACTGCAGTCTCCCTCATCTGGGGTGACACATTTAACCGAGGGACATAGTGAGGCAGCATGGCTCCTTCACAAGGATGCAAACTGACTATCTTCACAGGACGCAACAGGGCTGCAACCCAGAGAGCTGAGTGATGCTTTCAGCCACAGAAAACACGTCATTTTGTGGGGTTAACGAGTTTAGAATTACTATGTTCATTCTGTTGAGAACATCACTATTTAGTGACATTTGAGTATTTTCTTTTTAAATTTTATTTATTTATTTGTGTGTGTGTGTGTGTGTGTGGGGCAGCTCAGCCCACCAGGGGGCGGGCTGGCTGGCCTGTGGTGCTGGGGATTGAACCGTGGTCCCTGTGCTTTGTTTAGCTTAGCTTGTTCTAAGTAGGTGCTTTAGACCACTGAGCCATCTCACCAGCCCTAGTGACATTTGTTTTGCTGGTTTTTTGCAATATGAAGGACTGAAACCAGGGCCTCTTTAAATTTTGAGACAAGGTCGTGCTAGATTATCCAGTTGGCCAGAACAGGCCATCCTCCTGCCTCAGCCTCCAAAGCCCTGGGACACTCGTGAACCACTGTGCCCACCCTCTGAAAATTTTCCATGTGCTATGGAGACTGGAGGCTGGAGCAAGCAGTCTTGTCTCTGGCTGGTGGTGGCTTGCGAGTCTTGGTGAGCACGCGTTTTTCTAAGGAATGCGTTCATAGATAATACCAAAGCTGTAAAGAGACAGCTGAAGCCTCACCACGAGCCACCGTGTAGAGAAGGACACCCCCAGGGGCTCCCCACACTGCTGCTCATCATTTTCAAGATGAGCATCTTATCCTCACTCTGCCTCCTCATCCGTTAAGCGGATGGTACAGTCTACCTCAGGTACAGGTCTGATTATTCAGCAAAACAAACTGTCCTGGGCATCTGCTCTGTGCCAGATGCTCTGCGAGACATTATGGACGCTGAGAAGGTCCCTGTGCTCAGAAGGAGCTTAGGTCACCAAGAGGCTTGCAGCTGGGCATGACCGTCATCCTCTCCCTTGGAAGGATGAGGCAGGAGGGTCACTCTCTCCCTAAGGCTGGCCAGGGAGAGGCCGTCTCAAAACAAACACACAAAGAAACAAATAACAACAAAAAAGAGAGGCCTGACTATAGAACACAAAAACGAACAGCATCTGCTTACCTGCCTGCTGGAAATCCTGATGAAAATTAAATGTGAGCAGGTTTGTGATGTGCCTGGCACATACTGAACTCTCTCCATACCTTGGAGCAAGCTATTAATGAGGGACCAGGGGTGCATGTCCAAAATATCTGAGGGGTGCCACACACTCAGGCAGGTGGAATGGCCTTGCAAACCACAACTAGAAGTTTGAAGAGCAAAGTTACAGCTGATCCATTTTGTATGTTCATTGATTAATGATAATTATCACATTCCTAGATGGCTCTCACTGTATTTGCAGATGAGCCTAGAACTCCTAGCTCCTGTTATCGCTGCTCAAGCCAGTGACACTGCCCAGCCTCAGCCAGGGGCTCACTCAGGGCCCAGTGGCTAGTGCTCTCACTTCACCCCCATCCCAGGTAGGAAGACAGCCAGGGACCACAGGGATGGAGGGAAGGCAAGGACAGCTTATGGCTCCGGAGGGGACATGACTATGATATATGGGAGAATAAAAGGAAGGAAACAGGAGATGACCCTAGGGGAACAGACTGCCCATCTGTCCTTTGGCTCTGGGGCTTCCTTTTTATAGGTGCTGAGATGAGGCCCTCAGTGCAGGGCCCTCGTGCCAGCTGGCTGAAGGTTGGGTCAGTGACAAGGGGAGCGGCAGGATGAGAGCAGGGCATGGGGTGAACGTGGGCAAAGCGTAAAGTGTTCCCTAGCAAGACGAGGTCAGGAGATTCCAAACACACCCAGCAACCAAGAATGCAGAGTACGCTGCTTTCTGGGATAAACAGAAACAAGATGCTGGGCAACAGCTGTCCCCAGCGGGCAGGAAGGAGGGAGCAGCATGAGGCCTGGGATGCACAGAAGCCACTGCAGACAGCAGGGTCGAGGCCACCTGCCCCACTGGGGAAGCAGGAGCAGGATGTGCGGGGGCGAGCTGAGGCCTGGCTGAGCAGGGCCACATGAGCAACACCTGAGGTGTGACTGCCAGGCCGGGGGAACACAGGCCAGGAACCAGACCTGCAGGGCTTGACTGCTGCTGCTGGGCCACCTTTTCTGTAGTACTAAGGATCAAAAGCAGAGCCTGTGCATGCGAGGCATAGGGCTCCAGCACTCCACACTCACTGCTTGTCTGGCTGGGGGTTTTTTGGACACAGCACCCAGCATCTATGTTGTCCACACTGGCCTTGAAGTAACGATGATCTGCTCTCCTGCCTCAGGCTCCCAAGAGGCTGGCATTACTGGTATGTGCCGCCACTTTTGGTTTTCTTCTACCTCATTTATTTTTTTAAAGAGGGAAAGTAGGGGCCGGGGAGTGGAATAAATACTTCCCTGGCAAGCGCAAGGGCCTGAGTTCAATCCCCGGTTCCACCAAAAAAAAGAAGGAAAGAAACAGTTCACTTTTTGTAGATGTTTCAGTCCACATTGGGCTGGCTCCAAGACAGTGTGGCACATGGCAGAGGAAAACAGCACAAGTAACAAGAGCAAAAAGGAAGGAGCAACTCTTATTTATTCAGATTTTTTTTGGGGGGGGGGGCGGGCAGAACCGGAGATTGAACTCAGGCCTTTGTGCTTGCCAGGGAAGCGCTTATTCCACTGAGCCATCTCTCCGGCCCCAGAATTTTTTTTTAAGGCAGAGTTTTACTATGCCATTCAGGATGGCCTTTAACTCATATGACTCTCTTGCCTCAGCCTCCCCACTACAGGGACCATAGGTGTGCACCACCACTTTGTATTTTAGGCAAGAGCTGCACTTCTCCAGACCTCAGGTTTCCTCCATAAATCAGGGATCAGAACAGTTCCTACCTCACAGGACTGAGACACAATAAGCTTACACTAACCTTGAGTGGTTTTTTTTTTTTTTTTTTTTCCCAGAACTGGGGATTGAACTCAGGTCCTTGGGCTTGCCAGGGAAGTGCTTATTTTACTGAGCCATCTCCCTGGCCCCTACTAACCTTGAGTGGCACGTGGTAGGCTTGCAGTGAATTTCTGTTACTGGTGATGGTGTCCTCATTAGGTTACATGATGTTCCAACATGGTTTTTCATCCCCAATCCCTTGCTTTCCTGAGCTGTCCACGTACGGCCTCTGCCACCTTCTCACGATGCCCCTCTGGGCAGCCATGATAACCTTCCCAGTAAGGGCACACAGCCTGACTTTCACAGCCATGGGCTGAGCAGAGTGTGGCCATGTGGGTGTGGTCACCACACGCTCTACCTCCGTCTTTCCTCAGCACCTCTGACACAAAAGCAGGCTAGACTGCAGCAAAGGAATGATTTTCAGGAAACAAGAGAAAAAAGGAGCAAAAGGAACATGGTGAAAATGTCAAATGGGGCCAGGGAGACGGCTCAGTAGAATAGGTGCTTCCCTGGCAAGCGCAAGGCCCTGAGTTCAATCCCTGGTTCCCACCAAAAAAAGAAAAGAAAATGTCAAACTGAGTCCAGCATCTCCAAGCCTTAGACAAGGTGATCTGAGCTGGTCTCCTACCAATCTGTCCCAGTGAGCTCAAATCTGACATGTATACATCCCAAGGAAACCATCACACCAGGAGAGACTGTAGTCAGAACAGGAGAAGAGAAGCCATTACTGTAAGCCCACCCAGAGGCCCAGGCACCCTGAGCATATGCTCTATTATTGAGATACATGTTCAGCTCCACCAAAGGCAAATGTAATATTGCTGGGTAAATATCAAGGTCCCCAAAGGAAATAAAATCTTTTTTTTTTTTCGGAACGAGGGATCAAACTCAGGACCTTGCACTTGCCAGGCAGGCGTTTACACCACTGAGCTAGATCCCCGGCCCTGGAAATAAAATCTTGGGGTATGCCATAGTTTCAGTAAACTGAACATTCCAGAAGATACCCTAAGAGCAGCGTTAGCTAGCTGCTGGTTGTGGGACTCTGTGGGCACCTCTTGCTGGCTTCACAGGATCACAGTCAGCTTGTGAAGAGCAGAGACATCCATGTTCCTCCTCTACAGATGCCTGTGGTGGATGAGTTACAAAGATGGGGGCTTTGACATTATGGTGATGGATGGAGGTTGTGGAATTCAACAGGTCTTGAGGAGACAGCACTGCTCAGGCCCTGCACTCAGCTCTAGGCGATTTGCTGACTGGCAGGAGACAAGGCTAAGGTGGAACAAGAAGGTGGCAGCTGCCAGGACAATCTGCACACTGTCAGTTGGGCATGTACAGGGAAGGTGCAGGTGCACGTGTGGAAGCTACTGTGTTTTACCTTCACAATTTCCTGTGCCAAGATTCCTCCAACCACCGCACACACTGGGGCCATCTCGGAGAAGCAGTACCTAGAAAAAGAGGACAACTGAGGCACGGCACTAAAGAGCAGGGTGCAATGACATCTGCAGAAGTTTCAGACAGCAATGCCAACACCGGGATCTAACTCAGAGGTCTGGGAGTGGCTGAGAAAGACCTTTGAACCTTGGCAAGGAGGAATTCTTTTGCATACTTTTTTCTTTTTAAAGTCAAAGGGAAGATTATATCGTGCTTCCTAAAAAATAAGGTCTTACTAATACCAGACGTGTGGCTGCCCTGGTGACATTCTCCCAATTCTGCTCTACCACGATGAGGGCTGGGCCTGCACACTATTCCCCGATGTGTGGCAGGGAGCAGGCCTATGTTAGCCTGCATGACGCGAGAGGTCTGTGCCTCTCATGAAAGCACGGAGGCAGCAGTCCTCACGACGTGTGCCGTAGAGGGCCAGGACAGAGCGTCCGGAGGACGAATGGTGGTCCCTGAAACTGGCCTTCTGGGGGACCAGAATATTTTCACCAAACACCTCAACAACAAAGGAGTTATGTTCTGCTGATTCCTACACAGAGATTCTTCCCTTCTTCCTCACACTGGAGACTGACTCTAGTCTGTGTACTGAGCTGCATCCCAGTGCTTTATTTTTTGACAACCCCAGGCTGGTCTCAAATTCACAGTAATCCTCCTGTCTCAGCCTACCAAGTACTAGGATTATAGTGTGTGCCACCATGCCCAGCACCAGCCCTTCTTTAAAATCCTGCGATGGGGTCTTGACTAAGTCAAGTTTGGCCAGACTGGAGTCAACCTTGTGATTTTGCTGACTCAGCCTCCAAAGAGCTGACTACAGGCTTGTGCCACTATACCTGATCCTTTTTTTAAACTGCACATATCTAAACACATACAATTTTTTTAAAATATTTTATTTATTTATTTATTTATTTATTTATTTATTGTGTGTGTGTGTGTGTGTGTGTGTGTGTGTGGCCAGTTCAGCCCACCAGGGGGTGGGGCTGGCTGGCATGTGGTGCTGGGGGATTGAACCACAGTCCCTGCGGTTTGCTTAGCTTAGCTTGTTCTAAGTAGGTGCTTTAGACCACTGAGCCATCTCACCAGCCCCTAAACACATACAATTTTAAGTCTAAGTAATATCAACTACTATTTGTTCTGTTATCAATACACTGAAGGGCATATATGCTATGTGACACAGCCACCATCCATTTTGGTATAGTTAACAAAATTACTCTGTTAAGAACTAGGCATGGGGCTGGGGAGATGGCTCTGTGGAGTAAGCACTTGCCTGGCAAGCGCAGTGGCCTGAGTTCAATCCCCGGTTCTGCAAAAAAAAAAAGAACTAGGCATGGTGGTGTGCAGCTGTAATCCTAGCACTTGGGAGGCTGAGGCAGGATGATTGCCCAGTGTTCAAGCAAGACTGAGATATAAACTGATTTTAAGGCCAGCCTAGCCTGTCAAGACCTTGTCACAAATAAAACAACAAGCCAAACTATTCCTTAAGGCAAATTTCTAACTATTCAAATGGTACACCTTGATATGTACTGCTAAATGCCTCAGAATCTATCCATTCCAACTCCCAGCACAGCCGTGTTTCAGGGTGTCACCTCCTCATGTGCTGGCCGGGCAAAGCATCCTCACACTCCATTCACCTCAGAGGCAGCTTTCCCATCTGCTTATCAAGGTCCACTGAAAGACAACGTATAACATATGGAAAACAATAGCCCTCATGTTCCTCCTGCCTCAGTCTCCTGAATGCAGCCAAGATCTCCATGTACCATAAAATATAATTAAATTGGTCGTTTGTTTGTTTGTTTTTTTTGGCGGAACCGGGGATTGAACTGAGATCCTTGCGTTTGCCAGTGAAGCGCTTATCCTACTGAGCCATCTCCCGGCCCCAAAAATGCAGGGTTTTGTTTTTTTTTTTTTTTGTTTTTTTTTGTAGCTCCCCATTGACCTGCAGCAGCGCTGGTCTGGGTTAAAATATAATTAAATTGGACTTAAGGGTACAGCATTTGCCTGGCATGTGAGAGTCATGGCTACAACACACATATACCCTAACTCATATCATGACATCAGAAATTTAATTCAAGAGCCAAACAGGAGGCCCAGCATTGTGGTGCACGCCTGTAATGCCAGCACCCAGGAGTCTGAGGAAGGAGGACTGCTGTGAGCTAAGGACAGCCTCATCTACAAAGCGAATTCAAGGTCAGCCTAAACTGTACAGCAGTGGAAATACCAGACCAAAAACCAGGCAGGAGTGCCAGGCATGGTGGCACATGTCTATAATCCCAGCACTCAGGAGGTTGAGGCAGGACTGCAGTAGTCTAAGGCTAGCCTGGGGCTACAAAGTGAGCCTGAACTGTATAGTAAGACCTTGTCAAAGAAAGGAGAGGGGAGGGGAGGGGAGGGGAGGGGAGAAGAGAAAGAAAGAAAAGACATACATGCATACAGGCAGACAAAAGAGCACCAAAACTAAAGAATGAGGTGAATATTAGCCGGGTGTAACCTCAGCACTCTGGAAGCTGAAGGAGAAGTATCATCATGGAGCTTAAGGGCACCCTGCACTACACAGTGAGTTCAAAGCTAACCTCAACAACATACTGAAACCTTTTTCAAAAACAAGAAAAGGATGGGGTCAATGTTTAGAATGTCTTTGGTCATAATGGACCCAAATAATCCAAACATCCTTCATCTAGGAAACAGACAATATACAATGATGTATTACTCAGCAGCAAAAAGGAATGAGCTACTGGTTTATAGCACAACACAAATCTCAAGTGCACTAAGCTATGTAAAATATGCCAGGCTCAAAAGACTACAGGGTTTATCATTCCACCTATATCATATTACAAAAAAACACAGAACTACAGAGAGCAAGAGAACAGAACAGGGGTCACAGGAATGCACAAGGTACACCATGAGGGAAGTTTTTGGCATGCTAAAACTTTTTTTAAGTACTGGAGATTGACCCTGCTGCCAAGTTTTAAAAGTGAGCTGGGAAGCTGGCTGTGGCACTACGTGACTGTACATATAATGATTTGGTTGCTACAGGGTCTCACTACATAGCTTGGACTCACAGTGATCCTCCTGTTTTCAGCCTCCTCAGCGCTGAGATTACAGGCGTGTGCCACTATGTCTGGACTCTGGCCAGCTCGGCCTGCCCTGGGGCGGGGCTGGCACCACAGGTGGTGCCAGGGATTGCAGTCCCTGTGCTTGCCTAAGCAGACACTTTAGTCTGCTGAGCTATCTTGCCAGCCTGATCATAATTTTGAGGCCAGTTTGGGAAATCTGGTAAGACCTTGCCTTAAAAAATAAAAACAAAGGGCTGGGGATGTAGCTCAATGCAAACACCCTGGGTTCAATTCTCAGTATCACAGATGGGTACAAAAAAGTTAAAATGGTTAATTTATATATATTGTGTCATAATAAACAATTAAAAACAATGTAACTTTTTTTTGTGTGTGTGGCCAGCTCAGCCCACCCCGGTAGCAGGGCTGGCACCGCATGCGATGCCAGAGATCAAACCCTGGTCCCTGCACGCCTGCCTAAGTAGGTGCTTTAGAACTGCTATCTTGTCAGCTCCTAAAAACAATGTAAAATATACAAATTATGAAATACTTGCCAAGTATCTATAATAGTGGAAAAACAAAACTTAAGTATTAACCAATAAGGTGTTAGATAACAATCATGGCTAAGGGCTGGCAAGATAGCTCAGAGGACTAAGTGACTGCTTAGGCAAATACAGGGACCCAGGGAGATCCCCAGCACCACAGGCCACATCAACCCTGCCCCCGGGGCACCCTGGACTCCAGGTATGGTGGCCCACACCTATAATCCCAGTGCTAGGGAGGCTGCAAACAGGAGGGTCACTATGGGTCTGAGCTGTGTAGTGAGACCCTATGCCAAATACATTTTTTAAAAAAGAAAAAAAGCCCAATCATACCTAGACAATGAAACATGAGATACAACTGACATGATTCCCCATTTACATAAATAGGACCATGATATGCTGGAAAAACCTATAAAAGAACAATACAGGTAGTATGGTCTCTCTCTCTCTTTTTTTTTAGGTACCAGGAATTGAACTCAGGACCCTGCACTTGCCAGGCAAGCACTTATTCTACTGAGCTACCTCCCCAGCCCTGGTCTCTTGTTTTGATAGATAAACAGAGAAAAAAAACATGAGCACATATACAAAGAAAATTTCTCATCCTAGACCTAGTGGCTACAATTACACCTGAACCCCTTATTCCACTTTATGTTTCTGGATATGGGGATCTGCTACTTTCTTAATCTGAAAAGCAATAAAGCTGAGAAGAAAATAAATAATGTAACACAAAAAAGTGAGCAAGCAGATGAAGGAAAGAGAGGCTTGTGCACAGCTCTCCCTGCTTGATGGCAGCACCAAGCAATTTATGAGGGCAGCTCAGCTGCGAGACAGCGGCTCATTTCCTCGCCAGCATCTTTACTCTGTCCCAGACCTACTCGGGTCTATCCACAGACAGGCATCCAGGGCTCACCCAATGCCTCTCACTTAAAAAGGCAATTGAGCTGGAGCACAAAGCACATGAGACTGAGACATGGGGAAGTAGCTTCCACAGAGGGTGGGCAGGGAAGGAGAAGGCTGTACAGAGAAAAGTGGCCAACGGTGCAGAGCCAGCCCATTCATCACTATGAATGGCCAACTGAGCCACTCAGCTGCACGGTCATGCCAGACACCTGGCACCAGGTACACTGGGCACCTGTAGTCTGCTGCTGATCACTGGGGAGGGTCTACAGAATTGAAAACTCAGGTGACCTAGGCCTACCTTCTCCTGTGGAGCATAGAACTGGCAACTGCTTCTCACATACTGCTCCTTTTTGCAATAAACGAGTGTCTGTCTCATGTAGCATGGGACAGGGACCCTCATCCAGACCTATGTCACCAGCCCATGACCTCATGGTACCAAGTTACAAAAGCACCACAACCTGCTATTTTTATTTTTTCATTTTTTGTATTTGGTACAAGGTCTCACTACGCAGCTCA